CTATTATTCGAGCAATGCAGTATTTCCTGTGTCCAGCATGCCCAATGTACATGATTGCTCACTTGATATGAATTTTCAGGGGTGCTAGTATGGACGGGGATTGAACCTGATACAATTTCACAAGGACTGAGATTATTTTACTTTCAGCATGCTGTTTTGTAACTAAAAGTAGTAGTATGGATGTCGCCTTGAATTACAATGCAAATGGAATACTTTTAATTTATGTGTGTAGCAGTCTGCAGCACCTATGGATGGATCTAGATGTCTGTCCCACTAAGGATCCTGTTTTTGTTCCATTACAGCCAAGAGCATTCTGTCACCAGCCATTACATTAATATTTATACTGTGAAAATACTTATAAAGACGATGGAAGGCTTCAAGAATGCATTTCTCCTCAGTCATGGAAAAATCTAAGAAACAGCTCTCTCTAAGGTCTCTCGGGTTTTAAAGGTTTTGTCCAGGGAGCTGTCCTTGAGCTAAGTGTGTTTGACATCTCACCGTCTTTATAAACCAAGTGGCCGACTCAGCCACTGTGGAAGAAAACTGAGCATCAACAGGAAATGGCAGGAGGAGCAGGAGTGTGCTCTAATGGCAGTGGTATGCTGTATAATCCTGTTGCATGCTTGTTTAACAGATTCACGACCGATGTTTCCGAGAGGAAATGCCGTCTGCCTCGCAAGTGATGGAAAGAGAGGCTCCAGGTTAAAGGCTAATTCATTTCAAATTTGGGCAAAAGTACTTACAGGGACAACAGGGAGTCACAAATAATTTGCATAACAATTGACATGAACAATGCTGAGGGTGGGGATGGCCGTGCCTGAAAAACTGTTGCTTGCCAACTAGGTCAGTGTGACTAATTGGTGTCACAGTAGAATCCCACCGACAGATCCACTTCAGTAGTCGACACAGAGAATCTGGGAATTGAGTGATATGACATTCTGACAGTGTAATACAGCTTTCTTAGTAAAACGTTTGCGTAGCTCATAGAAAACAGGACAAGCATTTCAAAAATCGGACTGAAATATGCATTTTGTCTATACAAGTGAATCAATATGTTTATTTTGTCTTGTCACGAGATATTGACACCCGCTCAGCAGGACCCACCTCAGGGGCAGATGAAAACAGGGTCAGTTACTTATTATATTGCTCAGTGTTTGTAACAGATTATTCGCTAAACTGGTTTTTTACACAAACTACAAAGTGTGTTTTTGGGACACAGACCCAAATAAATCACTGTAAAATAGCTTGCACCTGCTGTGACATGGTAACCTGATATGCTACATGTGGCTAAAGAGACTGACGGCTACCCTAATTAATGTGATCCTTTCATCATTATTTTCTTTTTTTCAATCTGTTGTTTCTCTTTTCGTGTACATAAAATTACAGACACCATTTTCGGAAAACAGTCGAACTATTTAATGTGTACATGTGAAACATTTCCCATCCAACATCATGGAGGAGGCAGAATTTCTGAGCTATTCTGCAGCCAGCCACCAGGGGGCGATCAAGATGATTTGGCTTCACTTCATGGGAACTGTCATGTTGTTCATCTTGACCGTGGCAAGATGTCTGTTCCGACACCACCGTTAGTTGTGGGGGACAAAATCCACTGTCTCGAAAATCGAGCCAGTATCTTCAAAGTCTCTAAAGTCACAACTTCCCTCTTTGTGTTACTGCTGCTCCGAGGGAGGGGCTTCTCTAACCCCAACCCCTTTTCATTGTCATTCTGATTGAGGGGGGGGGGCGGCCCTGGAAAAGCTCGGAGCGGCCCTGCTGGTCTCTCTCTCTCTGTGGACTCACCAGCTCATCGATATCCTCTCTGAGTTAAATCCATTATTCAATCAGCCGATGTGTGGAGTCAGTCACAGGGAGGACTTGTGGGTAAATCTCCCTCATGTGTGTTTGAACTGTTTCGGAGCCACGTTGTTTTCGCTGCACCGGCTGAAGCTTCACTCACATGTTCGAGAGCAAGTGATCGACTCGTTCACCGGTTAGTGCATCGTTTCATTTCACTGCTTATTTACATGCACCTGGAACATGCTGGTGTCGCTGCAGGTTGTGGAGAAGATCAGGTGACGTGGTGTTTGTGGATCTGCCTCTGTGTTTACATGTTGTTGTTGTTGTTGTTGTGAATGGACACATGGCGCACGTGTAAATATGAGCAGAGACGACACAGTGGTAAACAGAAAGGTTTGCAGTTTATAAGATGTGCGTGTGAAGTCAGTGGATGATCTCATCCATGTGAGGGGGTAATTACTGCAGATCTGAGGGAGAGTCAACATCGGGTACTGGCTAATCACTGGATCAGGAGCAGCAGCAGCCTGTTGTTAAAATGAAGGATCTCAGCTCCCATCAGGTGGTGAAAACATTGGAACTCTTTTAATGTTAGAATTAGAAGCATGAATTAAACCTCTCAGACTGTTGCTCCAGGCTCAATGTGGAGGATTGAATGGATAATGCATGAGTGGCTGGTTGGTGCTTTACTGCTGTGGTGGTGAGACCTCTGAACAACACTGTAATGTTACACATATTCATGGACTGAACCATTCTAACAGCAAATGACAACATATTGATAATGCATCCATTTCTATTGATTCGTTTTCAAAGTGAAGAGAGAGGCTGCACTATAATGTTAGTTTTATTTTTAATTAAATACAATATTGTATCGAAAAACAGATCGTTTTAATTATCAGATAATCTGCTGATCTGACAATGTCTCAATCAACTGTCTACAAATGATCAAAACATAGTAAAAGCAAATACCCTTTATAATTTCACTGTACCCGTGGTTACATGTTCAAATTTGCTGTTTTACCCAAACCCAGATCAGGGTCATGGTATATAATTTTAAATAGTGTAAAACTAACTATAGCTGAAAATCATCACATAATCTGAGAAAATGTGGCATTTATGCTTGAAAAATGTCAGAAATTGATTTTATGTCAAACTGATTAAGCATTTCAGTTCTTCTATTAGAAAATTATATAAATTATATATATAATTATAAATTCCATTCATCTTCCTGTTGGATGTTAAAGAGCATAGTCTGGTTATGATTCATATAAACATGCCACTTGTTAACATGTCTACATATGTGACTAAAGTCCAATTACTCCCAATCTGATGGTTGGAGTGTGATCTTATTCAGATTAAGGTCATCAGAAAAAGCTGTTTACATGGGAATGTCTTTTTCAGACTGCTGAATCAGGTTAATATCAGAATTTTAACGTCCATGTTAACATGTCCTCTGAGACAAATGGACAGTTGCTGTGTATGATTGCTTATCATGATCATCACTAAATCCCTGCATGTACATACAGACCAGTGTCCAGTGTGAGTCATCGACATCTTCTCTGTGAGAGCGAAACATGTGGCAGTGTTTAGCTTCATTGTTGTTTGCAGAAGGAGCTTACAGTGGATAAACACTAACATACTGAGCGCTGCACGGGACAAACTCAGGCATCTGCTGCCTGGTAATGAGATCTCATCAACACTGACAGGAAACATCAATCTCACTGTCAAACTGACCATCGACCTCTCACACACACCAAAAACAAACTACCAACTTATTCACATTTATTCTAAACTGTGCTTGTCATTTAATCTGCAACAACTTATCTACTAGTTCATACTTGTCACTGTGGATATTGTATTTCTGCTTTTCTTATGTTAAGCTCCATTTTATTTTATTCAATTATTTTGTATTTGTTATAACATTGCCTTCACTGCTGAGCCGACCTTGTGTTAACTACATGTATATGATAATTATATGTAAAGGTTAATTCAATTATATTGCACATAGTAGAAAATGCAAATCAGTGGCACTCAATAATAACGGACCTTAAAATGGAATTATTTGCTGACAGATTGAAGAGCAAACAATTAAAAGATGTTACATTAATGAGAAAATCAATTTGTATAACCCAGCAGCTAAGCTGTAAAATAAGAAATATATATTATTCTGTGTATGTAAGAGTTTATGGAATCAACCCATTTTTGTAGCTTCAACTTCACATTAAAATATCCAATGTCCTTTGGTTTATATTAGAAGATGAAGAGAGTAAATTCCATGTCCTATTGACTTTATAGTGTCAACCTGAGCCCTGAACCTGCCTGTTATTTTCTATTTGAGTCTATAAATAATGTTTTTTATGCATCGTGTGGATCTCATCCCAGGATACAAATCGATGGCTCGGGATCCCTGGTGGTCAAAGTCATGAATAATTCAGCGGTTGTGCGACACACCATCAGTCTGTTAATAGCCCATCTCTTCGACCAGGTGCAGAGATGCCACGAATCAGTATTCATATGTTCCATCTTAATAAAACTGAAGTGGATTTCTTATGTGAAATGGATTCAGACCCTGCACACCAATCTGTCCCATGTCCCGTGACTGCAGAGTGTTCGAGGCCACAGGACTCAGAGCCTAAAGAACATACTCATACATGTGGACATTTATTTTGATTTATTATCATGTGTGTGTGTACTAGGGTTAGGTTTAAGTAAAATGATCATGTCACATAAAGACTTATATGGCGTGTCTTCACTCTGTTTGGTTTCCACTGTGCAGAATCACTAGTGTGCAGTTTGATAACAGATGGTAGTTTTTACATTCTCACCTGAGAATCAGACGTGCACATACAAGCAGGATTTTGTGACCTTATTCAAATTTTGCAAGCCGACCATTGTTCAATATGCAGCTTGCACTTGTAAATCAATAAAAGACTTTCCATAGAATTAAGAAACATCCTGTGTATAGTTGTTAAAACGTTTGGAATGACAAATATTTCTCATATAGATTAATATGATATATATAAGTAATGGAAACATTTGAGGTTGTTCATATCTTGTAAATCCTGTTTGAACTGTGTAAAGAAATCAGATGCGTGGAGAGTGTTCTACATTTCTCTTATCTCCAATGAGATTTTCTGACGTGAGAGACCGTGGCAATGTCCAGGATGTTTGATTCATCTCTATTCCTCTCTCCTTCGTGTGCACAGGGGCAGACAGAGAGCGGATGACAGCCAACCATGAGACCTACCTTCTTATGGCCAGCACCCAGAATGACATGGAGGATTGGGTGAAGACAATCCGAAGGGTCATCTGGGCACCTTTTGGTGGAGGTCGGTATTACATATTACAACCACACATGCATCAATACCATTCTGTACAACTGGGATTGCTTAGTAGATGTTATCATTGCTATAGAGGACAATGGAGGACTTTAAGAAAGATGTTTGAAGCGTATGTTTGCAGGTAAAGCAACAGGTTACCTCTTTGTTTCCATCCATGTTTCATTCCACATGTCAGCGTCGTGCCACATGTTGGCTGCGTCGCAAAAATACCTGACTTCACCTCAGCCTTAGTTATTCGAACATTTGCTTTGTCAATTAAAATGTGAAAACCAAAATTTTTGAATGTCGGATCTCATTTTGTTTAATTGGACACTCTGGACCCCCTCTTGCAAAACATCAGCTAGGATTGTCTTGGAAAGTATTGATGGATGGATCTTTTTATTTGGCTTCTGAATACTAATAAAAAAGGAAATGTGTTAAAAATCCTTAATGTGGATTTACGGTGACTCATAGCTGTTGAAATTCTTCTCATGATGTTTCCCTGACTTTAGTGGCATCACTGTGCTGATTACCAGGTCTCCTGCTGCGCCGCTGTGGCCTGTGCTGGCAGATAATGGCCCACACTGTGTGAGAGCAGGGCACAACAAGCGCAGCGTTTGTGAGTGGGCGGGCGGGCGGGCAGTTCAGGCGGCTCTTGGTGACACAGTGAATGGACGAGGCCGAGCTGGCCCCCCTCTTGTTTTCAGCGCGGGGAGTTTGACATCTATTGCAGTTGACTGCTCTTCAAAAGGACGAGCCATTTGTCAAAGATGCCACGAGAAAGGTGGAGCCAGCCACCGCTTCCTCTGTCTCTCTCACACACATGTACATGGAGAGTGCACACTCACACACACACACACACAATTCATATTCCAGCCTTTCACATTTTGCTCTAGCAACAGAGACTAACTGAGCCCTGATTGGCTGGTCAGTGGCTCCGAAGTGTGATTGTGCTCAGAGAGTGACAGACAGGGAGGGAGCTCCCAAAACGAAGCCCCCTGTGTTTGACCCACAGAAGGATTTGGAGCCGGCTAACGTTCCTGCTGTCATGTGGTGCTGAACATTTACTATGATGCTGAATTAATCACCGGTCGACTCGGACAAACTGTGGGACGAGAGCGAGCTGGAAGTCAGACCTGTGAGAAATGTGCAGCTGTGGACTCTCCATCTGGATCCTTGGAGATTTGTTTCATGGTAATGAGCGGCTTGTTTATAGGAAAGAGCTGATGTTTGAAAATGAATCTCTGAACTTTGTTGTTCCTGAGGGATTAATAAGATGTAGAAAGTTAAGAAGGGGATTTTAAACTTGAAATTAAAACTAGTGCTCCCTTTGAGTTTGTTGCGTTATCAGGTCGTTCATCTCACAGTTGATTGGATAGACATTATGTATATTATCAGTTCAAGCGACCAGAGACACATTTTTGTGTTGGTTTGGAGTAATTTTTTTTTTTTTTAACACAACCTCCTCCTGCACACACTCTATATTTCTGACATGTGTTATGTCTGTTTCAGTGTGTAACACAAACCATTGGACTGTTTACATTTTTCAGTCAACTTTTCTCCTCATGTACAGTTTATATTTGGTTTTAAAAAGTACAACACCAAAATTTATAGTACTTGACAGTTCACCTGTTGGATTAAAGTTCAGTGAAGCTCGACAGAACCCCGAACTGGAGAATCATTTGTCGTTGTAGTGATCCACAACGTCGCCTGCGTTGATGAGTCCCAGCCGCTGCTGGTCACATGTTTATTCACACTGTATTAATATTGAACATATCTTGTCCAAATTGCACTAAATTCAACGCTGCTCTATTTTTGCTCTTAACAATTGACATACCAAGTAAAAACCCAATAATATGAACAGTGACTGTAGAGATATGCAAGTCACACACAGACAGATTGCTGGAATTCACCCTGAATAACATTTGCTATCTGCTAACATCATATTTTGTCAAATACATCATGATCCAATGCTTCTACAAGTTAACATTAACCAACCAAGAGTCTGTTCCAGTGTAATATAATATAAAATGAGTGATGCAGTGTGTTTTGAGAGAAGCAGGTTTTTCTCTTTGGTGCAGAACTCATTATTCTTACATGAGATATTCAGCATTGCAATGTCAGGACGCCATTAACATCAGCATCATATAACAGATTTGAGGGACGTTCATCCAAGCACATGACAAAACCACAGACCAGGAAAAGGAATCAGGAATCCTGGAAAGGGACAAAAATAAACTGTGTTGTGTCTGGACATCTCTCCCTCTGCGTGTGTGTGTGGAGCTGACTCGACCTGCGAGTCTTGAAGGAACCTGCTGAGTTCCTGCAGAGCGAAGGTTCCTCTCTTTTCGCCAAATCCCCCTGCGGTCATGGTCCGACCCCCCTTTGTCCAGTGAGGAAACAGCAAAACACATCATACAAACACACGCACAGTTCATAAGCTGGTTCACACATGTGACCTGGGAAAACATTCCTAGACTCATGACTGGAAGCGTCTGGAGGGATGACCTCTTTCTCATTCACTCACTTCTTTCTCTCACTCCTCCTCTGATGTTGCTGTTTTCATCATCGATGTGAGGAATATTCATCATTCTCTATATTCTGCTCTGATCCATCTGACAGCTTCAGATATCTTCATGTGGCTGTTGACTGTTTTATTTGGATTGCTGCAAAAACTGAAGGGGGGGCGAAAAAAATCCCCCAAAGTGACTGACCCAGAGGAGAAAGAAGACAACACAAGACTCTGCTCTTAAACTTCTGAGCGACTTGTTTTTAAAAATGTTTTTTTTTCTCTGAGATGGATATGAAGATGCTTTAACTGACCTGCTGTCAAACTGATGCATCTCTCTTTTATTTCTTCTTTCTGTCGTTAACTGCGAACACAGAAGCTGCTTCTTGGAAAATGCTGTGCAAGCGCTTTAAACTCTGCACCTCTGATGTGTTGTCTTATCACAAATTTATCAATCAGTGTTTTTTCCGGAAGCTCGCCAGCTGCGTTGGTTTCAAGAAGGGTGAGTGAGACGACAGCTGACACACAAAGTGAAATCATTCTGCGTCTGTGTGTGAAGATGTGTGGATGCATTCTCAGTTGATAAGCTGTTGATGTCGACTTTAACTTCAGAGCGTTCAGTTGTTGTTAAGCTGTTGTGCGCCGTGTGGAGCGCACGAGGATCCTGGGTAAGCTCGGTCGAATTCAGTCGCTGTGCCGTACCTCGTCGTACCACGTGTGTGTGTGTGAGTAGCCTCTGTCTGAATCTAGAGACCGGAAAAGTATGCAGATCCAAATCTCTCAGGAAGGCTGCTTTAATCCCCTCTTGTGTTGCTTCCACATGAGACTGCTGCTGCTTTTTCCTTTTTTTTCCGACGGCGACTGCCTCAGACAAAAGCAGAGAGGTGCTCAGCAGGAAGTTAGAGATTTTGATCATCGGAGTAAAGCTTTGTGTACTTTTCTTCTTTTTTTTAACTTGGGCTGTGTTCTGACCTTATCGTAAATCTTTTGTCAACTTAACTGCTCGCTTTGAAGTGCTGTAAGCTGGAGAGTGAAAGTTAAAGAGTGCGGAATATTAAACACTATGAATATTTTAAAAGATAAACCTTTATTTTGTGTTATTTCAGGATTGTGCAGCTGAGAGAACCACATTCTATACTTACATCTGTGGTAAAACACTTTTGAACAATGGAGACCCTGTTCTTATATTCTGTGAGGAGTTGACCCTGTTGTCAACAACTTATTCTCACATTATAAATAGCTGCTCCAGCTTACGTAAAAAAAAACCTTGGTCGTTATGAATAAATAAATGAATTTGGTTGTTGTTGGTGTGTTATGTATCAATCTCGTCCCGTCATTTAACATTCCCTCCTGTGTTTCAGGGATCTTTGGTCAGAAGTTGGAGGAGACGGTGCGGTATGAGCGCCGCTATGGGAACAAGCTGGCCCCGATGCTGGTGGAGCAGTGTGTGGATTTCATCCGGCAGTGGGGCCTTCAGGAGGAGGGTCTGTTCCGGCTGCCTGGACAGGCCAACCTGGTCAAAGAGCTGCAGGACGCATTCGACTGTGGAGAGAAGCCCTCGTTTGATTGGTGAGAAGATGTGTGAGCGTGCTGGCTGGTTGGATTTCCTCACTGGGTTGTAATGTGTAGCTGATATTCAGATGTTGACTGTGTGTGCTCCTGTCAGACTGGTACGAAGGTTTACCAAGAAACAAAAGTGGATGAATGTGCATGAGAGAGAGAGAGCAGGTTCTGTACAGTTATTAAAGTTAAGGATCATGGCCTTGCATTATTTTCAGGATGCTGTGCTGTGCTTGCTGAAAACAGCTTTTTGAAATTATCATTCTTTTGTGTCTTTTTGCATAAAACAGTTAAAATCAACAGATTTTCAGTTTTGAACAGTGAAACGTCTTTTTGTGTTTATTAAATAGAGTAAAGCAATTTGAAATTCACACATACCGAGCCCCTCAAGGTCTGTGTACACAAGAAAATAACTTGTGCACACAATGTTAGCTTCATGATGGGAACAATGGAATATCTAAACAGTAAGCAAGAGATAATTGGATTATACTTTGAAAACCACAGAGGTTAATTGTTTTAACATACTGACCAGAACAAACCTTCTATTACTTGGATTCTAATCTGCCAACTACAGGAGGCAGCACTGAGAGCTGATTTGTAAAGCGCCGACCTCCATCCGTCACAGGGAATGACAGAGAAGAGCATTCCCTGTCTCCGTCTGTTCTTTTGTCTTGTTCTTAGTTTATCTCTTCCCTGGTTCTGGTGTTTACATCATCTTCTGATTCCTCCCATTTCCTGCAGCACTCTCCCTGCAGGAAGTGATCCATGCACGCCTCCTCGCCATGTTGCCGTAATAAATTATAACCTCTCCCTGCCCCCTCCTTTATTTCTCTCTGTCTACAGTAACACAGATGTGCACACGGTCGCCTCCCTGCTGAAGCTCTATCTCAGGGAGCTGCCGGAGCCCGTCGTCCCCTTCCTCAAGTACGGTGACTTCCTGGCATCTGCCAAGCTCTTCGGAAAGGATGATGAAATGGTAAGAAAGAGCATTTGAAGAAAACATTTTTATACCTATATCAACCAAAAAATTCACTTTTAAACATTCCTCCACATGAAGTGGAAGTTTGATTTATATATCGACAGATGTCAGCACTAAAAAAAATCTTCCAGAGGCCTGGTTTGATGCTTTAAAGCACGTCTCTTGCTGCTCAGTCATGTAAACCACGTCTCTTCCCCCATCGTCACATAAGTTTGTGTCTGTGTGCGTATATGCAGGAATGTGGGTGTGTCTTTTTATTTAAGACCAGATATACGTTTCGATGTCTCACGTGAACACTGCACCACCTGCCTCGGACTCAGTGTTTTTAAGCAACAAATGGATCAACTGGCTGCGTTCTCTAAAAACAATAATTTATTAATTTTCTTCAGTGCGCATCATTTAATGAGAAAAACATGTTTCACTTATCTGTGTTAATAAAAAGTCCTGCATCATTTTTTACGTTCAGTCACTGCCACAAACACGGTTTATATCCTTCCTTTTCTGTTTTTCTGTCTTGTGTTCCTTTATCTTGCACATGCATACACCTCAAGACTTTTTTCATTCTCCTTGGCCTTTTGGTGTGATTGTTATACTTCATGAGCTGTAAATTCACCACGAACGATTACAACTTGTGCAATGAACTGATGTGAAATATTGATCTGTAACCTAAAGAACCTGTCTGTCATCTGCAGGGTATGAATGAGTTGAGACGGCTCGTGGAAAGTCTACCTCCAGTCAACTTCAACCTTCTCAAGTACATCTGCAGGTATTGATTATTTCTTAAAGTGGATAAAATTATTGTTTTTGTTCAGTGTCACATTGAAGATGTTTTCCTGGTCGACAGGTTTCTAGATGAAGTGCAGTCGTATTCAGGAGTGAACAAAATGAGCGTTCAGAACTTGGCCACAGTCTTCGGGCCAAATATCTTGAGGCCAAAGGTTGAGGATCCAGTAGCCATTATGGAAGGTGAGTATTCCAGACTGTCGTGTATATGAAACTTTTTCGGATCTGAAATAAAACGCTTGAAAGATGAAATATGTGTGGTTCCATGTTTAGGTACTGTTCTGGTCCAGCAGCTCATGGCCATTTTGATCGGCCGCCACGATGTGTTATTCCCTCACAGAGAAGACAGCCCCACTGCCCTCGAGCTCGTCAACAACAACATCGAACAACCGCGGCGACAAGCCACCACAACTACCTCCACCGTCACGACAGTGTCTCAGAACGCCGAGAACAACAACACGCAGGTGGTCCGTCAGTGCGTCTGGGAAACACCTGAGTCTCCTTCGCACCGCCAACACATAGAAAACAGTGTCTCCCCGCGGCCGTCAAGCCCTCGCAACGCTGTCACTGGACGCTTCGACATCACCCGCAGCCCCCCACTGACTATTAAAAAGAACCCGGCGTACAGTAAAGGCAGCGGGATTGTCACAAACGGCTCCTTCAGCTCCTCGCCCTCCTCGGACCCCAATCAAGAGAAGAGTCAGACTCTGAGTGGAGGAGGCAGTTTACCGATTCGGCGCAGTGGGGCCCTCAAAGGCTCAGGCACAAAAATGGGCACCAGCGGCGTGGCGGGTGGGAGCAGCACTGTAGGGAACGGAGCTGTGCGCATGGGCGTTGCAGGCACTGATGTGGTCACAGGGAGCCTGAGCGGCCGCAACAGTCTCTGGGCCCCAAACGGCTGCGTTACGTTACGGGTGAACAACAAAGCGCGTGACTGCTCCAACGGGGAACATACCGCCAATCAGAATCGTCTGTCCACGTACGACAATGTCCAGTTAAACCACCAGAACCTGCAGCTGCAGAACCAGATCACCAACACGTGTCTGAACAGCAGCTGCGAGGACAAGCAGAGCGTCGACAGCGCCACCTGGTCCACGTCCTCCTGTGAAATCTCTCTTCCCGACAACTCCACTTCCTGTCGTTCCTCCACCACCACCTGTCCTGAGCAGGACTTCTATGGAGGTCACTTCGAGGACCTGGATGGACCAGCTCAGGATGCCGAACCTCCTCAGCCCGGTGGAGGAGCAGGAGAGGGGGAGGGCAGAAGCAGCAACAGGGAAGCAGGAGGAGACGGAGCAGGGAGGAGCAGCCGAGGAACCAGCAGTAGTGAGAATAGTGACAGTTTCGCTGCTGCTAATGGAGCCGGCAGCCACAGCGCTCTGCACAGTTTAGTGGCCAGTCTCAAACAGGAGATGCACAAACAGAAGACAGAGTATGAGGCCAGAATAAAGAGGTATGATCCGTCGGTGGATGAATAAATGAAGAGCTTGAAAGAATAATACCAGCACAAGCAAGCAGATTGTGTTTTCTTTAGATGGAGTCAATCTGCCACCAGGTGTTAGTTTATACCAAGCTAATATACAAGCTGCTGGCTCCAGCTGTAGATTTAGCTTAGCAATTAATTGGTATTTACCTTGAATTTAAAGGTTTAGCTCTTCCCACTGTTTTTATCAAACTATCAGACTAAGAAATGTGAATGAGGCTTGATGTTTTACAGTTTAACCACTAAACTTTATTGTGAATAATTATGAATAAAAAAAACCTAAATACGACTATATGTATAGGTCTTGAATAGAAAATAAACTAAACCTAATATGATTTGACTTTAAATGTTATTTTAAATGCATCTTTTCTGCTTCATTTATTCTGTTAAATATCAAATTACCGATAAACGCTGATACAGAAGTCTGTGAAAGTGCTGATTGAACAGTTTTAGCCTTGACTGAATTTTACAAAATATCTACTCAAGCTCCAGCATGTTATTCATTAAGTTTATTCAAAGTTAAAAGAAAATGCAGCTTTCCTCCTTGTTTTGTCATTAAAATCTACTTGCAGTTGAAGTTTTCCTAATACTGTACATCAACCTCCTCCGCAGCTTGGAGCAGCGTAACCTGGAGCTGGAGACAGAGATGTTGAACCTCCACGAGGAGCTGGACCAGGAGAGGAAGAAGTACACCATGGCCGAGATCAAGCTGCGCAACGCCGAGCGTGCCAAGGACGACGCCGAGCGCAGAAATCAGATGCTGCAGAAAGAGATGGAGCAGTTCTTCTCCACCTTCAGCGACCTCACCGCGACCGGCAACACCCCAGCCGCCGACCCCCGCCGGCCAGATCGCACCAACGCCATCTGGATACAGTGAGGGAGGCCGGGGAACATGGTGCTTAAAAGACTGTAAAAGACTGTGTAACACTCAATAATGTGATGTGAACATTAACCAGGCTCCAAACAGGATTTGGCTGCTTGTTGTAGAAGGAAAAGTGGGAAGTTTCGTCAACGGCATGTTTTAATTTAAGTAATAGGTGATGGTGTCACCTGTAGAAATGTAGACGTCACCTGGAGTGATGTCAGAGTGACATTGTAAATACAACATTATTTAAACACTCGCCTACTCTCTTAGAAACTGTCGCGGTACCTGCTCTTCTGACCTGGTGGTGGAATAAAGGGACTGTAAAGGGATTTACAGTACTACCATTATTTTATATTAGCTCCTTGAGCCCGATAGGAGGGACGAATAAACATTTAAAAAGGTTGTGATCAGCGAAACATGGAAATAAAACACAAAGAGCTGACGACGATGCCAAATCTCCTCCCTGTCGTTATTCATTTTTAAAATCTAACCAAAAACAAACAAAACATGCTATTGTTCCGTGTAATTCTGTATCTACTCGTGTACACAGGGAAACAATGCAGACAAACCACAGCAGCATATGTATGTAAAGAGAAAAGTACTGCGTAAATGTTTATCTGATATTTAAGCAAAGTTATCAGTGTGTGATATTTTATATTTTCCTTGCACTTACATGTTTTGTTTAGTGTCGCTCCAGTTGGTACTGAATGTTGCATCATTTCAATGGGACAGTATTCTGTATATGTGCCTGTGCTTCTGTGCTGTTGTATTATATTTTACCACATGACCAAAAAAACGAGCCTGTACTGTAAATATTTTATAATGTAGACAATAATTGTTAGTCTGTACTGTGGTTTTAAGCGTATTCAGACGGATGTGGCACGTATTCTAAATGGACTGATGCCGATTTGAAGAATGATGTCGCTTGTAAGAAAATATATTTGCACGGTGACGACCTGCACGACAGGTCATTGGCGTAAATCCCAGATTCAAATAAAAAATGCCTGTGACGGATTCATAAATGCAGGTGACAAAATGTAAGAGATGGTGTCGTGGAGCATTTCTCTCACCTGACACTTTCCATCCTCGCCTCTACTCACAATAACGAGCTGCAGCCACAGCACAGTTGCGCTTTTGTATCATGACTGTGAAAAAGGGGGATTACAGCATCAAGTGTGTCAACATGTACAGCTTGAAATTCTGTAACGAGAGGTTCTCGCTTGGCTGCATGAGGGTCAGTGTCTCCAAAGTGACTGCATATTTCATTGAGTCTCTGCGAGTGAATTTGTTCAGCTTCAAACCAAATGTGGATTCGACTGGTACAGGACAGGATTGGACTTCTGTGAGTTGTTGATATGTGCATGTGCTGCTGCTGGTCATTGCAGGAGATCTGGAATGTGCACATAGAGCAGTAAAAGAAGAAAAAGTGCCTGAACAACTGAATATTGGGGGGGGGTGCTTCTTCTCATTCTGCAGCCCTTACTGGGAAATAATAGGCTTAAGCCAAGCTGACAGTGTCACCTCATTCTGTGAATTCCACACAAAAGAGCCGATAGTGGATGTGGTGAGAGCGAGAGGATGACTGGGACGGAGGGATGATTTCGTGACATGATACTTGATACACAGAGGAACTTTGAAAAATGGTTTAATGAATAAAGATGCATTTTCATGTTAATCTGTCCGTCCATTTTTTTGTATTTGATGCAGGGTGAAATAATGAAAAGAATCAGGCACGTTTAGAGGACTGGTGTCTTTAAGTACACGTGTGACATTTTGTGCAGCCTGTGGGCTCTTGGTCCATGATATAGGAATGTGCTCTTTTGTTAGATGCCACATATTAGATTGCATGTCTGATACAGGAGTGGAGTCTGTGCAGGTGGGACTGTATCTGTCACAGCGACACATTGGATAAGTGGTTTCTATTGATGAGAAGGACTGAATGGAGTGGTTTGAATCCCAGCTTTGCAGGGGTGGTTCTGACTGGAGTTTTTTTTTTTTTTTTTTCTCTGACTGTGTGGGTTTTCTCTGAGTACTTCAGCTTCCTCTGTATGTTGGCTCTGCAATGCGCTGGGACCTGTCCAGGATGTAGTCTCACCCAATTTCGGCTGGAATGGATGGATGGATGGATAGATGGATAAATGGATGGATACAAGCCTAGGTAAAAGAAACATGGTACTCTGTTCTCTAAGATCAAAGTTTTTGTTTATTTTCCATCACATACATATACTATTTTTACATACACAGTTCCTTTAAAATGTTGTGTTTACAGGTACAGCTTTCAGTATTTTTTTTTCTTCTGCGTTTGTTTTGACTTTATTTGAAACGCTTTAGCCTGAAGCTTTGAGATCAGCGTGAAACGGATACAATTTTTTTTTCTTTGATTTCAATAACCTGACAATGTCAAGAGAATGGTTCATTAAAACAGCACGGCGTAAAAGAAACAAGAGAGAAGGAATCCTTAAAGAACAACGTCACCTGATTCAGATGAGCTATACAGGGTTTCATCATCGTAGAGTTCCACATTTAAGACTAAAACATTCTCTGCATCACCCGACCCTTCGCAGTAGCTCGCCTCCCTGTCTTGAGTGCAATAACGTGTTTATTGCATTGTTGTATCGTTGTTATTTACAATGTGACTTTGAAAGAAAAGAAAGAAGTGGAATCCAATGAGCTGGGAATCACGAGTACCGAGTACAAGATGCATCCTGACTTTTCACACTGGTGAGAATATTGTGTCTGAATGACGTGTCGGCCGTCGCCATGTTACAAATGAATGGATCCTGAATCCACGTGAGACCTTTGTGACGTAAATTAATGAACAGCTACTGTAGCTGACACGTGTCTAATTCTAAGTTATTGTGACTGAACATAAATGCATACATGGACTACTTTCAAACACATGACTGCACCGATCAACATTCTTTAAACCAATCACACAGAAGTCATGGTCAGAAAGAAAAGAAAAGTTCAGTAAAATCCAGACAGTTTGAGTTGAATGCTGGTTAATTTAAAATCACATATGCACACACACGTACACATTGATGTGTGTCATCGTGAAACGTATTCATCTCTACATTCAGTGCTCGACAACCCGGCAGCTTCTGTGTCTGACTCGTTTCAGCTTCAGGCACAAAAGCACCTTTTTATTACAACAGAATAGTCTGAGGGGGTGTCTTAGAAAAAGTAAGAAAGTTCACATTCAGAGAAAAAGAACGAAAAAATCATTTTTATGTTTCACTTTTTGTTTGACCAGAACATGTACAGATAGTAAAGAGAAGAGTGTCATCGGGCCGGTTTAAAATGCCCTGTATAGCATATAGTGTTTGTGGCGGCAGGGGGGCCGGACTCAAACACTAAAGACCCCTTTGTGAGAAATTGAGGACAATTTTTTTTTTCAAAGCACAAAGAATTTCAAAGCTGCACCCTGTTTTGACACATTGCCCTGGCCGAGACCCTGAACACGAAGCCAAGCTATAGCCTGTAGCTTTATCCTGGAGACGCCCGCCCTCAGTTACGTGCGTGAGTCTGTGCGTGGTTCACTGTACACGAGGCACAGGCAGAGTGAGTGTTAACAAAGTAGCCATTTGGAATTGGGTCTGTGAGCTTTGTGGCAAGCACACAGCGGCTCAGCCCGAGATCACAGAGGTACGGCTAGACTACGTGAAAGTGCAAGAAATGACCACCTCAGCAGTGATGTCACCACATCTCCTCGAGGACGTCACCGCTGAGACTGAAATATGATGATAAATGGTGTTTAAAGTAAACATGGGCCTATGTTACCTCCGCCAGGGAGTTTATGTTGTCAAATCTATCCCTTTCTTTGTTGGTTTGTATATTTGTTTGTTTGTGAACAAGATTACACAACAACAACTGAGCGGATTCCCACAAAACTTTAGGGAAGGATGCGATATGGGTCAGGGTAAATTTTGGTGAAGATCCAAATCAGGGGGTGGATTCAGGAATTTATTTCACTGCCTCCAACATTTTCCCAATTTTCCCAGGGAATAATTCATGGGATCTTGATGAGAAAAATGCATATTAATGGGACTGATATATATGAGTGTGTGCAGTTTGGTTCTGCTTGATTCAAAGGGCCTTGGCGGAGGTATGCACTTTATTAAGAGACAGTGTAAGACCCAACGAGAGTGCACTTAATTTTTGTATATTGTCATTTTACCAGATTGACAAGTGATAACACTACAAAACAGGTAATCTAATCTTTGATGGAAATTTGCATGAAGCAGAAAGTAATCTGTTTCTTCTCTTATTCAAACATAGATCACCGATGTTAGTTCTCTCCTCGTAAAATATCATTTTGTAACGCAGCACTGCTCTCGCATAAACCTGCAAAGAAACATGAAATATGGCTGTGAAAACCCAAAAATAATAACAACAAAATCTTCCCTCATTCCTTTTAAACGAAGAATAAATATGCTATGCACACAAATGAACAAGTGACAAATCAAGTGCCCAGCAAGACCTTAACTGCAGCTGGAAGCCTTGTTGTGACACGTGAAATAGAGAAATACAGTAGATAGATAGGTGAGGATACTGTGTCTTTTGATTCTAACACACTGTACACCCTCTCTCTGAAATAAAATAGATTTTTATAAAAGGTCAGATGTGACTTAGTGAGTTGTCCCATTTTGAGAAAATCTGATCTCCCTGTTTCATGGGAACTGGCTAATATTTGCAGAACTAAAAATGGAAAATGTAAGACGACAGCAAACCTTCCATGATGTGGATAAAAACTAGCATAAGCACTGGATTTGTCATAAGCTATAAGGAAAGCAATCACACACTAAATTCAAGTGGCAATAAAAAGTGTTCTTTCTTAGTTTCCCACACCAAAGTTCTGGTGGTTTTGTGGACTACGATAAGTTTTAAGGCAGAAAAAGAAGAAGCAGTGGAAAACAAATATACCCCCCCCAAAAAATAACACTTCCTGCACCTGCAATGCTTCATTCTAAAAGGCACTTGCCATACTCATGTTCCAACTGTTAAAATAAATCAATAAATCAATAAATAAATCTCCCAACTGAGAAATAAAACATGGGCTGCCTCTATCAGTTCCCTTTTTATGAAAAACACAGCACGTGTTTTTGTGGGGCGTGGCAGGATATGAAATCAAAAGTCCTTGCTACGAGGTTAACACTCATCAGCCGCCTTCAAACTACCGACCGCGTCACTCGTTTCTCCTTCTGAAAGAGTTCTGTGTTTCAAAGAGTCAAATAATACGAGAGTGGTGGCACCACAGTGGAATATAGACCAACCTCCTGTGCCTATGAGGGGTTAATGGTTCACAATGACATGACAGGAGTAGTGGGGGGGCCAATCTTATGCTGCCAAGGATAAAAAAGGGGCGTAACGCACAAATCATTTGTTTGGGACTGTAATGACCCTTTTGAGTCCAAACGCAGGCCTGACATTTATCAAAGTCTGAGGCTACATCCACATGACTACGTTTTCATTTGACAATCACTGTCCACACAAGTGTTTTGGCTCCAGAATTAATCCCCGTCCAAAAAAAACCCACATATCACGTGACCACTCTCGTGCACTGGGCATGCACATGCCGATGCAGAATTTAACTGCGCAACAGCTGGGTGCAAAGACAACAGGGTCAGCAAAGCTTGTAATTGATTATCCATGTTGTGTTCTACACTGGTTCCACACTGAGGCTGATGCCGATTGTTTTCTTCTGGAAGGGGGTCATGTGACAGGAGCCCGACGAATTATCAGATTAGTTTCTATCCGTCCAGATTAAAAACGTTGCCCCGGAGTTTTAAAACTCAAACGGAGTGAGCAGTGTTCCCAAACTTCTTCATTTTAGTAGCTCTAAACTACAATGTGGCCAACAGAAACACAGTAGTGTGGATGTAGCCTCAGTGACACACACTCACACACACACACACACACACACCCTCCCACCACATATCTTGGAGTTGTGTTAGTTTTACATTATATATAAACAAAAGTCTCTATGCAGACTCATTTTTAGCATACAGTGAGATTAGCATTGTTTTAAATCTAATCATGCAGGACTACAGCGATAGGCAGGGGGGCAACTGAGGTGGAAAGCGGTGATGTGGCAAGGTGCGCTATAGTCTGAAAAATGAAGTTAAAACAAAAACAAACCGAAACTCCCAGTGTACTGGCCGTCAGTCCCACTCTGTGTGCCCTTCAGCTGTACAGAATTACATTATTTACAAGTATCACAGGGGGGTGGCGTCGCTCTGGGTGAGAGTGACTACATATCCCTGCAGAGTAACCACATACAAACACGCAAATTCAGGCAACCTTACATTAGGGATTGTGTCGGGTGGGGGGTTGAAATACAGCAGTGTCGTTACATAAGGGCCGGGTGGGGAGAGAGGGGGGTAAAAGGAGAATGGGGTTTGTATTGTACATTAGCGATGAGCACAATGGGCAGCCCACCTTGCCACAATGACTGGAGCATAAATGCTTTTGTAAGGAGTTGGGAGACCAGCAGCCAGCCAATATGCACTTTGCACTTTGAAGATGCCAGTCGAAGCGTTTGGTCGTTTTGTTCGGATGCCATATACAAGATATTTGGGTAATATAAGCAAAGCAACTAGAGAATCATTAACATACACCTCAGCTCGTTTACTTCAGTTTAAATAACCACTGCTGTTTTTGAATGACAATGCACAGGCTTTTAGATTTCATCATTTCAGATCCCATAACTTTTTTGCTCTTAATATATTAATATTGATCTTTACTCTTTTTTTTCTTTTTCTTTTTTTCGTTTCGGTCGTTGGGTTCTTCACCTCCGGAAGAACATGGGGTTGCGCAGGCAGGCGGCTAGTCACCTGCAACACCCCAGGGGTCCTGCGGAGGTCTCCAGGCTGCTGTCAGTGTCTGAGGCCAGGGTCTGGTCGGTGGACATGGAGGAGATGTCGTTGATAGAGGAGGAGGGAGGGAGGCTCTCGCTGCTGTTCACGGCTGCACCTGTGCTAAGGGAATCAACAGCAGCAGGGGGTTAAAACGTAAAAGAGTCCCGGATAAAGACAGGAGCAGACATACAGCCAGGGGAGGTCATTTGTAAGTGCACACAGAGGGTATATAAAGTGAGAGAAATGATCATATACATTGAGTAACTGAATTTGTTCAACAGCTGTGGGACAAGACAATCACACGTGAGTCTATATGAGACATTAATGAAGGTTTGGGTCCAGTGGGGTCCACAGGAAAGATCATCAAAAAATGTAGAACAAAGACTGTAAAGATGGACGACACCTCTCCTGCTCCTCCCACTATTCTGAAATGAAACAATTCTGTTTTTATAGCATCAAATAACTGATTAAAGCCAAAAGCTGAAACATTGATACTTAAACATAGAACTAACAAAAAAGGAAAAACAGCTTTGAGTAAATGTATTTAACGTATGTTCTAACTTTTTAGTTTGGCCCATGCCCCTTCAACTAACTAGGAGGAGGAGGGGTTTATGATCTATACAGCAGCCAGCCACCATGGTGTGATCAAGACGCTTCTGCTTCACTTTTGGGGAGCACTCATGTCGTCCATCTTTACGATCTATGCTGAAGCGTTTGAGAAAGTGTGTAGTTCTTGGAATAATTTTCATACAGTTTTATCTTAGCATTTATGTATTATTAAAGGATTAAAGGATCTGCGATGGTTGAACATTGTGGAAAGCACTTCAATAGGTTTATATCTTTTTTGTGCTGAAGACAGTCTTTCTTTTTTAATACACCAATCCAATTTACAGATATCGATCTTGTTTCAAAGTCAAGATGGGAGCAGCCGGCACGTCCGGCAGTGAACTTTATTTGAGGATTCATTAATTCAGCCTGCGAGCTGTGGACGAGCAGACGAGGCTGTTAATCTCCATTTTAAACAAGAAGGATCAGAAGGTTTTAAAGGAACGCACAGCTCATCCTCCCCAGGTTTGGACGGCACTTTCATTACATCCTTAGCGATATGATTCTGCTCTCCACAATAAATCTATGAAGACATTAAAAGACAAAAATGGAAAGGCTGCTTTCCACAGGAGTTGTGGGTTGAAAGAGCAAAGCTATGAGCATATACGGGTATTTAAAATATGAGCTTAACGACCGTCCCATCATTTGTACAGAGGGCATGTGCAATGTTTGTGTCTGTTCCCTGTGGGTGCTAATGGCTTAATGGAGGCTGGTGGACATTTCAGCTGACCCACAATAAAGCAGACAGTAATTCAGGATTAGTGGCTGGCATCAGTTCCAACAGTGCAGACGTGCACTGAACTCTGGATATTAACCTGAAATTATCCAGACTGTGTGTGAGAACGCAAATGTCCTAAATAAGTTGCTATGGACATTTTCTGATAGTTTGCCAGCCAGCCGCCCTGGCAAAAAATTAAAAACAAAACAAAAAGAATACTTATATCTCAGGATGATGGAGATGACGCATACGAAGATGTCGCCATGGAAAGACAATGAGAATCTTTGTCTTTCTCATAGGAAAACAGCTTTACAGTGTTACATCAGAGAGATCTGTTAAAGATGGCCATGCAGGAGGAGAATAATAATCCTGCAGTCACCTATAATGAACAGCAGATAGCGCTATTGTCCCGGCATGATTTAGTTTGTTTCTCATCCTCAAAACTGACCCATTGTTTGTTCTTTGGTGAAGAAAAGCTGCTGCTCTGATGTAGAAATAACATCAGTCAACATGCCTCCATACTGCCTCTCTGTGGCCAACTATGAAAACTGCCTTTCCTTCTAGGACATTTGCAGAAAAGCGTAAATGTGAGCTGCAGCTTCCCTGTGATGGATCCCAGCAGACCCAAACCTTAACACATGACATGTTTCATACATATATACACAAACACAATCCATGATATATTCTGTCTCAAGAGGCAATAATAGCAGTTATTATCAATTAGCTGTCTGAACGTTTGTTTTTCCAACGAATACACAGAACGACACCACTGAACTGAACGACATTTAACTTGAGATGCAAGAGACGGAGACACATGGTCAACAGCACAATGGGTTTCTCTATTTACAAAGGGGGAAAACTCCAGTAAGATTATAGTAGATTCACTTACAGAGCGATTAGGGTTATGCACTGAGAGTACCTGAAGGTGAAGGCTGTCCCTTCACTACGCCATTCTTCGTTCTCTCCTCAAAGTTCATCACCTCTTTGTAGATGAGTTCTACCAGGGAGCAGAGTCATAGAGAGGGTCAACAAAGACATACACACACTATATTCAATCCTTCATATCCTTCAGCTGCAGGGACGGTGTAATGGGTGGCTATAAGGCCTAAGGATAAACGATACACAGGATAACTTTAATGTAAAATATATTTATAAATCAGATACATACATTAAAGGTTCAGTGTGTCAGATTTAGGAGAAAATAATCTATTGGCACAAATTGAATATAAAATAACCCTATTGATGTTTTCACAAGTGTGTT